GTCTTTCTTCTCTATTTCAGTGTAATTTTCAATTAAACAGATTTTAATTATACAATTTAAAGGGACTTGGAAACAATCATTGCTTGATTTATTCAATAATTCCACTGTATTAAATTACCTTAAATCACACGATGATAGCTGATGTGGCAACTGAAATTATCACTTCATCCTTTGAACACGGACTTTATAACTGTTGACTAATCTTTTCATCAAATCAAACGCATCCAATATTATCGGCTGATTTAAATATGAGTAAGGTCAAGCCGTCAATGATTTTTGCTGTAATTTTTTATTTTAAGAATTCAAATTTAAGACTTAAGCACCTCAATTTTGGGCCTTGATGTACGGTGAAGAAAATTATTTAAACTAAAATAAAATTGGGGATCAAGAGGGTTAAGTTTAGTAGAAAGGGCTAGGTCTTTACAATGTGGTTCAAATTCACTTAGAGATGTTTATATTCATTGCCTAACAGTACTTTGAATATGATTGTTTTCAATTGAAGATACCTGTATTTAGCAAAAAAATAATAATAATAAAATGAGGAGAACCACATGCAAATCCCAGATAAGAGAAAATTAATTCTCCGTATGTTGTAACCACTTGTAAATATGCATAAATGAGACTGATACGATAATTTTCTTATTTAAAACCTGCTTGTTATGTTTTTGGTAAAGTTTGTATTTGGTCAATATCAAGGACGTTCTTGAGTTTATAAGGCAGCTAATGAATGCAGAAGAAATAGAAAGTCCATTTGTGACTTGGATTTGAATTTGTAATCAGAGAGGGATAGAAATTTTGTACGCAAATGAAGAATTTATAGGCTTTGTATAATGAATATATAGCTTGTGAAAATTCTTCTCATACTATGTTATTACAATTTAATTAAGTAACGTTTTAAACAGGGCACTAACTAATTAAATAAGGTGAAATATTTTTCAGATGGATTTTTTTCGGTGATTGAAAAATAGATTGATAGTTAAGAAATACATAAAGTGAATAAACTTGACTGACATTTAAATCTCAATCATATCTATTATTATTTTTATTATTATTCTCTTTTTTCACTTGATCTTCTAATCTGATGCCAAAAAGGGGTTCGATCTTCTAATCACCAGCGAGAATTCAGATTCAAAATGTTTAATTTCTTCCATTTAATTTCTTAACAAAAGAATTATTATAAAGCAGAAGTATTCTAAGATTTTTTGGGGTAAAGTGAAAGATGACGAGGTAAGTTCAAATAAATACCAAAAATGTATATTTATATATCAAGAATTCTTTGTAATATATATTTTTGTTGGAAAGAAATTTCATTTTAGCTAAAATACCTAGGAGGTGCTTTCATATGTAATTACTGAACTGATTTTAAAAAAAATGAAAAATAATTGTTGAAAATTTTTTTATCTTCCAATAAATAAATAATGGATATAATTTCCATAAAGTAATTTGCCATTAGCTTCAAATTACCCATCAGCTTTTCTCTCCTATATTTTTTTTTCCGGATAATAGAGTTTTCTTTCCTCCTAATCAGCCCAAATTTAATGCATCGCCGAAACTGCCCCATGAATTACTCAAATTGTTTTGTTTAGTGAAAGAGACCACGTACTAGTAATATTGAGGATTTAAATATTGTGCATAGAAAAAATGATATTAGGAGAGCAATCTTTTTTTTGTTTTTGTTTTTGAAAATTTCAATTTCATTCTAGAAACAAAATACTACATCCGGTCCTAATTATAAGAGCTAGTTGACTAATTTGAGGAGATTAAATAAAGAAGTTAAGTTAGTTATTTGTAATAAATAGGTGTTGTCTTTTCTAAAATATCCTTACTAATCAAGTGTGTTGATTAAAACTATCATTATTAGAAAGACTACTTTAAAAAAATGTATAAATATGACAAACAAAGTGGATTGAGGTCTTATATTTAGGGTCAAAATAAAAGTCAAATAAGGTTTTATATTAAAGACCGGAGGTAGTAATTTTAGATCCCACACACATGGAGGAGAAAACCCTTTGATAATTGAATTCACGTTTTTTTAATATTGTTGCGATAATTATTTCTAAGATTTTAGCAAATATTCTGAAAGTATGATAAAATTAGCAATGATGGCCAAAAAAAAAAGAAGATAAATTTAAGCAACGAATAATGATTGTAGCTCAGCTCCAAAAAAGAATAATGATTTTGATTTTCTATTAACGAAGATTTTTCTAACCAAATGCTTTATGCAATCGAGGAAAGAAGGACATAATATCGGGTGACGACCCGTTAAATAAGACCAACAACTACGCCTATTTAGTATTTACTCATGATAAGCTATATATATAAATATATATTCTTTATTTTCTTTCTTTCTTTTTTGGTCAAAACATATACTACTACCTCCTGACCTAATTATAAAATCTCCTCTGTAAACTACAAATGAGGTCTTATAATTAGGACCGGAGGTAGTATTAATTATTCACTTAATACTAGTAACATTTTAGTGGCAAGAAAAATTGTTTTAAAGGAGAATTACAATCAAGTCTCACAGAAAAAAAATAATTACTAAAAAGTCCCAATAACAATTTCAACAACCTATAATGACAAGTCCTATAATGAGAATGACAACTTTTGGGACTTATTTTTTTAATTGTTTTCTTTACTTGAGACCTCATTGTAATTCTCCTTTGTTTTAATTTCTTAGTCCTCCGCGTATTATGATTTTGAAGTTTCCACCGCTTCATATCCAATCCTAATTAATAGTAATGAGAAGTACCAACAAGAGTTGATCTAATTGGTAAAGATCGGCTCATAACTCATAAGTTATGAGTTCAAATCCCACTGCCGATGTGAGGACCTTATTGGTGGGTAATCTGTAAGTACTTCTGTAAACGCTTTATGAACCTAGAAACATATCCTGGCCCTGGTGAGCCCTTGAGACTCAACTCACCTAAACTTTATTATATCAGGAAAAAAATAGTAACGAGAAGTTACTTGGTGATCAAAATTATAGATGGGATTGGAAAATATCAAATCCCTCCACAATATTCCTCAATCTCAGATACATGATTTCACGTTAAAATCTATGATATCAGCTGCAAATCATTATATAGTTAATAATAAGTTACCAAAAAAAGAGTGAAAAAACTATGGAAGATGCACTTCTGAAATTTCACACCAATTTTTGTAAACATTTTGCCACAAATGAAAAATGGATAAATTATTTTCCAACAATTAATAAAAATATTTTGCTAATATATATCAGTGCAAAAATTTCATAACCAGTTTCCCAAATTTATCAATATATATATATAAAATTTGCAACTACTGTTTCAACTTTCAACGTCAAAATTTAATAGGAAGGAGAACAACGCACTTGCAGCCCTTAATTAATCTTTGCTGAAAAAAATAAAAGATTTAAAAGACTTATTGCAAAGATTTGGCAGGCATCTTTTTCCATAATTTGCAATTGACCATATAATACTCCACTAGTCTTATTTATAAGTCATTTTCAACATATTTTACATAGACAAAAAAAGTCTTAAATTTCATTAACTCTCATTTAAAATTTAATAACTTTTCAATTTTATCCATATTTAATATATATTATACGTTATGTAAATAAAGTAAACACAATAATAAATAAAGACTAAAATTGTATATCTATATAAAAAAATTTTCTCAGTGCCCTATAAATAAGATAAAAAGATATCTTCTCTTATTGTCTGATAAACAAGATCAGAAGAGTAATTTGTATATGACTGTTGAAAATTTAACATGGAATATTTTATGAGAAAGTGTTGTTATATAATTTATATGATATGATAGAAATCCAAAATTTTTCTGTCTCAGGCAAAAATTAAATTGAAATACCAATCCCAAAGTTTCATTCTCCTTATATTTATTCACAATACAAACTGTAATGTTGAAATATTTCACTGAAAGAAAGATCCAAAATTCGTTAAATAAAAGTGGCTAGTAGTGTAATTCTACGTTTTATGATCTGGATACTATTCTTATGTCTTACTAAATGGGAAAAGAAAAACTCACTAAAATAAATCTGAGCTTCTGAAGCAAGAAAAAATGAAGCAATTTTTAAATCATTTTGTCAACTTCAATATCCACACTTTCATTATTTTCTCTAGAAAGAATTATAATGAGGTCCCAAGTAAGAAAAATAATTGAAAAATAAGTCCCAGAGATTGTCATTTTCATTATAGAGCTTGTCATTATAAACTGTTGATGTTGTTATTGAGACTTTTTGGTAATTATTTCTCTTATGTGAAACTTGACTGTAATTTCTTTTTTTTTTATTTGGTGGAAAATCAATTGGAATACGGCAACCTCTCGGAAACATAAGCAGACTTCAGAGTTTTTCTCATCCACGCGCTATGATTGTTTTGAAACTTCCACACTACCTTGCTTGGCCAACCCCACAAGCCATAATCAACCGTTATCATATTTAAAAATTACTTATCCAATCTTTAATATAAAACTTAACTAATTTCAGTCGGATAAGGAAATTACATAGATTAATTAATGCTAATAAAATACTTCTATGTAAAATTGGATTATATGTCAAATTTTAAATTATATATATTAGTTTGAAAAATAATAATAAATATAAGAAATAATAAAATGAATTAAGATTTTATACTTATAATCAAAATTAACTTTCTAGTTAGCTAACTAGCTTCTATATTTAGGATTGGATCAATTACATCTTTTCTAACCATAAAGGGGAGAGGCGCGCGCGCGCACACATATATATTCTCAACCAAATACTAATATGATCCCACGGCCGAAAAAAGATTTAATTTCTCTAGGTCCTCCACCCATTATGATTTTGAAATTTGAAATTTCCACTCCCTCTTATTCAACTCTAATTAGTCATTTTTAATAATTTAACCATTTTTTTCATCATTTAGACTTACAGGACCCAGAATAATTTTCCACGCCAAAAATCCCTATAAATTCGCCCCCAAGGCCTCCCATTTCCTCACCCCTGATTTGATAGCCAAACAATGGAGTTATCATCCAAGCTTTCAGTTTCTTTCTTCTTCTTCTTTTTTCTTTTTGCCCTCACAACATATGCCCAAAATTCACCACAAGACTATGTGAATGCCCACAACGCAGCAAGATCACAAGTGGGTGTTCCTAACATAGCTTGGGATGAAACTGTTGCTGCTTTTGCACGGAACTATGCCAACCAACGCAAGGCTGACTGCCGACTGGTCCACTCCGGTGGAGATGGCAAGTACGGAGAGAACCTTGCATGGGGTTCCGGCGACTTGACCGGCACGGATGCCGTGAAGTTGTGGGTGGCCGAGAAGAAGTACTATGACTACAATAGCAACTCGTGCGTTGGTGGGGTGTGCGGGCACTATACTCAGGTGGTTTGGAAGAATTCGGTTCGTCTTGGTTGTGCTAAAGTGAAGTGTGACAATGGAGGAACTTTCATTGGCTGCAACTATGCTCCTCCTGGCAACTACGTGGGACAAAGACCTTATTGATCGATCCATGAAAGGAAATAATTTGCATTGAAAATAAATATATGAAACAACAGAATGATATTGCATGTATTTTGTACTAAGATCATATGTCAGTGTCATGTTATGATGAAATAACAATAAATTTTAAAGTACTTTTCTGAATAATAATAAGTATTAAGATCGTATGTCAAAGTATCTCGTATGTGATGTTTAATAATAAGTTTGAAGTATTTCATGTTTAAAGTTTTCTCCCCTTTCTTGAACAATGATTTTATTGGATAGACACACACACACACACATGTATGTGTGTGTGCGCGCGTACGTTTTTTTTTTTTTTTTGGCATAAACTTATGAGCTATCTGTATCTATTTTTCATTTGCTCGTGAGGAATTGGATATATGTGATCTGCGGGCGTGTGGAACCGGCACGAAATGGAGCACGAGTTGCGATCTATTCTCATAAAACTTCCTTAGAATTTGGATTCTTTCACTTTTTTTAATGGAAAAAAAGTATTATTTTCAAAGAAATGCCCCCGTCTGCTTGATTTTACTCATTACCAAGTTTGTATTAAAATTTGAAAAAAATTTATTTTGTGAGTACTTATACTTTCTTTTAATTTTTAATTTGGTACATAATTATTTTTTCTATTAATTAAATCTTTAACTTTATTCCGTTAGTAATCATTAATTCTTGAGAGAATCCCAATTAAATTCAGTTGAAATATCAAAATCCAAATTAAGACTTGCACTTTTGGTGCATCCCAAAAAATCTTATTAAGGATTCTTGAACTTTGTTAAAAAACTAAAATAACATTTTATAATTACAAAAATGATATTATTTTAAAAAATTAAGCCACGAAGACTTGACATTATATAATATTTAATTATAAAAAATGCTTTAAATTAGAAAATTAGGAAATACTAAGAGCGTAAAATTGACAGTGCATAATATCATATTCTCTACTAATTCTAATATATTAACAAGAAATTTATAGGAGCTCAGACCTTTTAATTACTTAATTCCAACGCCACTAAATTAATAATGTTTTGAAGGAAATTTTTTTTCCTTATAATTATTTTTTTTAGCATCTTCTCTTATAATTATTTAACGTATAGGCATTAAGCACACAGCTGGTAAAGAAAGTGACGTTTTTTTATAGGGGAAAAACTAAAGAAAAAAAGTAGCGCCTAATAGGTGAATTTGGCGAATATGAAACAGTAGCGCATACAGTTAAACACATTGTAGATAGTTAAAGTAGGCATTAGGGTTAAGAAAAACTTGCCATAATCTACCCCTCAATTTATCTTATCGGAAGTCCACTAAAAAAATTAATAAGCTAGATTCGCGATCATTACATTCATTTACCTTTTTTTACCACCTCTGGCTTTTATTATAAGACAATTCTAACTATCTCATTAATATTAGTGAGAGGTGAGTAAATCATTAAACTAGGTTTAAAAGTAAAATAAAATTCTAAATTTATTCATATTTTCTACAATAAATTACATCTAAAAAGCCATATAGAAAGTGTAACTAATTAATAAGATTTTAAATAAGAGTAATCTTGAAAAAATATAATTAATATCCCATTTAGTAACTTATAATAAAGATTAAGAAATATTTACAGTTTTTAAATTAAAAGACATATCCTATATGACAAGGTGTAGGGGGAGTGTCTCTCTATAGAAGTAGTTTCGGTGCTCATTGTGGGGATGGGCACCATAATGCTCATTGCTGTGGTGAAATCTAACTATTCAAAAGTAATTTAATGGTTTACATTTAAAATTTTTAACTAGTGAATTTTAAATAAAAATTTATTTTATTTTTTTGAAAACCTTGTAATTAAGATATTACATTTATTTTGGATTTAAAAAGAAAATATTTTAAAAAAAATATTAAATATTAAATCTTGAGTGTCCATATTAAATTTGAACAGTTGATATTTGATAAATATCATAGTATTCATCCTTGGGATGAGTACTGAAACTAGATCCGCCTCGCCATCAACAACTTGCCTTAATATTTTATTAATGGAGGCTGAATGAGACTGAAATAATTGAAATGGGCCAAATTTTGGAGATGCGACAATTCAATATTATTGTCTTGAATTTGCTATTTGCCTAATTGTTTGAAAAACTTAACTGCGCTTGATTAATTATTTTACACGCTAATTTGCTTACAAGTCAAATTGGAATTATGTGGTCAAGAATCAACAGGAAAAACTAATGTACAAATTCTATGGACTTTAAATATACAATACATAGAAATATTTTTACGGGAAAATTACAATTTAATGAGTAACGCTTTTTATTCAAAGATTTTGTTCGTGAATCAAATATCAAAATACAAATTGAGATTAAATTATAGAAGCCTAGAAGTTTTCTCATCAACTGCAATCGAAAAAACTAAGATTTCAGCAAACTATCCTAATAATATGATTTGTATAAATCCAACTAATTTATTCTCTGATTTTACTATGCAAAGGTTGATTGAAATTGCGAAGTTTTATCTAAGTTTTCTTCGATTAACAATGATACTTGAAAGTCAGTTTGAGACTTCCATTATTGATATGCATAATATTCCTCTGGTCATAGATGTAAAACCAATTTTATAGTATAATTCATACTATAAAATTAGTCTAATGCTTGATTTAAAAGACCTATTTACCTGCTAGTTTATTCCCTCCCGAGCGGAAATTAGCGATGATTTTACATAGGAAAATTTGCAATAAGAGACCTTGGATATATAAAATTGTAATTTAAGTTCTTCAGTTCACAAAATTAATGCCAGGACCAGGTCTTAAATATTTATTATGAAATGTTGAAAAAAAGATGAAAATGGCCTCTCTTTCTCTTTCTTCTCTCGCATCCTCTCCTTTTCTTTCCTTCTTCTCTCCCTTTCTTTGTCCTCCTCTCTTTCATACTCACATCCGCCACCCCAAAAGAAGACTGGATTGATGCACGCAATTGCGTTAAACAAGCTCTATACCTAGTCTATGATCCTGATCACATTCCTATGTTTTCTCAACAACGTGGCTTCTCTTTCTCCCTTCATGCTATTGGTGAGAATAGTAATTGCTCCTAGTAAGTCTCTCTTTCTCTAACTATGCTTAATACTCCCTCTTGCTGTCGCATTTAAGACCGAACGGATTTTCAAATGAAGCAGATGACTAAGAAAATACTAAGAGATTGGAGCAACACAAGAAATATTAAAAGGTGAAGTATTATATAAGAAGCTCCAAACCCAACTTTCGCCGCGTGTTTGTTGTTATGTTCCTACAACTTAAACATGTGTGTGTTTTTTAATTTACCGTACGTAGCAACATAGAAAATAGTAAACAGTTCTCTCTTGGTTATGCAGGGCTGCGGAGGGTGGCTTTTAAACCCAGAGTCGATGACATAGAGTCACAAGCTTGTAACAACCGGAAAAAAAAAAGTTGTATAAATAATTACTCTAAATAAAATAAAGAAAAAATGGCAAATAAAGATCCCCAATATGTGAAGTTGTGATTTGGGACCTTTAATTTGGAAAATAGCAAATAAAGACTCGGTCTCATATTCCAAATATAAAATCTCTGTGAAATGTCTGAAATGCCCTTGGCCAAGTGATATGTTGACCACGGGAAATAACATGTTCACTTTACCAAATGACAATTTCAGTAGACCAAATCACAATTTGGCTAAGGGTATGCTAAATGACAAGTTGACTATGGAAAATGACAAGTTCATTTTAGCGAATGACAACTTCAACAGACCAAATCACGACTTGGCTGAGGGGCATTTCAAACATTTTACTAAGATTTCATATTTGCAATATAGGATTAGGTCTTTATTTGCCATTTTCAAATTGAAGATCCTAAATCGTAATTTTACATATTGGGAGATCTTTATTTGCCATTTTTCCTAAAATAAATACTCCATATAAGATAGTTGTAATTTTTTATTTCACACTTATAATTTCTTATTCCAGACTTGTTATTTCCTATTACAAAATTGTAATTATTTCAGATTTGTAATTTCGTATTACAAACTTATCATTCTCTTTTTCAGACTTGTTATTTCCTATTACATATTTATAATTTCCTATTTCAGATTTGTGATTTTATATTTCGGACTTGTTATCTCCCATTTTGGACTTTTTTTCAGACATTTGCATCACGATTTTTGCAATATGTTTTAAGACATTTGCATACTATTTTGCAAAACAAGTAATGACTTGCATAATGAAAGTTACAAACTCGTTAAATTCTCATACTGAACTTGTTATTTTAAATAAATTTAACTTGTTATTTTCAATTAGAAACTTATTAAATTCACATATTAATCTTGTTATTTTGAAATCAACACTTGTTATTTCAAACAAACTTAACTTGTTATTTTTAATTATAAACTTGTTAAATCTACATATTAAATTTGTTATTTTCAAGTCTAACACTTGTTATTTTTCAACTAAGCTAACTTATTATTTCTAATTATAAACTTGTTAAATCTATATAAACTTTGTTATTTTCAAATAAGACTTGTTATTTTAACTAACTAGTTATTTTCAATTATAAACTTGTTAATCAAGTACTTAAGTACTTATTTGAAATAATAAGTCTTTAGTTGGAAATAATAACATTCTTATGGGTAATAATAAATAACACCATTATCCTTGAAGCATGAGTTAAGTAATCTCTAACACCATCTTCCCAAAGTTCATTGATGGCTCCGCAAGTGCATGGAATCGACGTAGCAATAAATCCTAGAGTATTCTACAGTCATACCCATAGGGAAGTTGTATACTTACTAATCTTGATAATTAATGATTAAAAAAAAAGTAATAAACCAAATTATTTGAAGAGAATGAATTAAAAATAGAAGAGAAAAGTAAAGGACAATTGATTATGAGGAGAAACCAATCACTTAAAAGGTTAGGTGTTAAGACTCAAGATTCACCCTATAGGCAGTTAGTTTCTATCATTTGACTTAACTCCTTATTCAATTATATTTACCACTATTCCTAAGGTATCTTAATATTCTTTCGAATTATTAGTCTCTTTTTACTTAGTGCTGAATTCATTCCCACGATAGCTAAACAACTAATTAAACCATGAAACTATAGTTTAAGTCACCATAAATTTCTAGAACTATCCCTAGCCTAAATATTTATGTCTATTTCTCTAGATCTAGGTTCTCTCTTTGCTTCCCGTTTATCAAGATTACCTATAAATTTGATTTAATAGTGATCAGTCATAAATCAAT